TTATAATAATATTCAAATAATAATTTAATATTAAGCAAGATCTTGTTTTCTGATTATGAATACTTATAAATTAAATCCTGAGCTCAGCCAAGCTCTCGCTTCAGGCCAGCACTTCATATTAGTTATTCTACTCCCCTGGGTAGGGTATCTGCCAGGTCGGTGGTGTCTGCTGTCGTGCTTGTTCATTGGACGCGTTTGGTTTTCATGTTGTGTCTGTTGTGCCTGTTGACGCAAATTGCCAAAATTGCCTGTGGTTGTGTTTACATGGCGAATGTAACAGACAAGTGACAGCAGCACGCACCAAATTCAAATAAAAGCCAATGCCAATGCCTGGCCAGGATACCAGGCTGAGTGTAAAAGTGGGTGGCTCGGGGGGGCTGAGGCTGGGATGACTTGGGTGGTTGCCAGCAATCGTGCGTTACATTATTTAATTCTGACATGTGCTTGAGGTTTGGCTCTAACTGTGTGCGAGTGTGAGTGTATGTCTGTGTGTGTGTGTCTATCTGTGTTAGCCAATTCAAATTTAGGCTAATATACCTTTGATATATGCCTGCAGCAGATACATATTGTATATAAATATTGTAAATATATGCATACATATATAATATATATATAGCTAGATCTACATGCTGTAGATATATCATGCATTCATCAAATAGAAATCCCCAGCTTTGATGATTGATTTATTGCCTATCAATACAAATTTATTTTGTTTTGACTCACAGTTGAGAGAATATTTTTCAATCTTAAAGTTTTTCTTAAGTTCCTTTTGCTTTTGTCGAGGCTTTCATAGTTTTGTTGTTGTTGTTGTTGTGCCCATCTTGAGACACGAATTTAATTGCTTCGACAATTCGCATTTGCTTTTCATTTTGTGCGTCTCCTTGCAGCTCCTTTGCTTTCTTTTCACTCCACTCTGTGAATGGCATTCAGCATTCAGGATCCAGCATTTAGCATTCAGCTGAGTCTGCCCGATGCCGATAGTCCTTTGCATATATACATTTCACAGCATCAATGACTCGTATACTCGTGCTGTCGGAGCAGAGCTGGGTATACGAGATATCCTTTCACTTCAAATTTATCGTATTCCTTATATATTTGATTGCATCTACTTGATTACACGTATTTGTTTAGCAACTTTTCATCTCGCTCTCGTCGTCGAGYTCTGCTCTGCTCTGCTCGGCATTGGCATTGTCTTTAAATCATTTTGGTTCGAGCATTTTATAGTCGTTCTCTTGCCAGTTTACTCCCTTTTCAAGTAACTCATTCAGTCGCTATCCTTTCGCTCTGCGATACGTTTAACTGTCAATGCCCTGGATTTAGGAAGAGCTGAAATTTGGGTGGCTTTGTTTGTTTATTTTTAGAGATGCCTAAGAATTTATTTCTTGAGTTTGTTTTTATATTTAAACGGCATTTATATTATATAGGTATAAAAAATTAATAAATAAATAAATCAAAAAAATTTTATCTAAATTATAAAATAAATATTTATTTTAAAAAAAAGTTAGAAATAATTTAGTAAAATTCAAAATTTTAAAATATTTAATAGGAATTGTAAAAAAAAATATTTATTAAAAAAAATCATTTGACATATTTGTTGTACACATTTAAGACTTTTAAATATTTAATAAGAATTATGAAAAAAAAAAAAAACAAAAACAAAAACAATATAAAAAATCAATAATAAAAAAAAATATAATATTCTATATAAATGTAGATTCTAAATGCTTTCAAATTCACTTAAAAATGTTTGCCGAAAATTATAAAAATATTGAAGGACAATAAATTTTTAAGGTTACCATATTCTATCATCTTCAAACATTAAATTTATTTCCTGCCTCTATTTAAAGGCTTTACTCAAATATTATTTAGATCTCATATTCACAGCTCTCATTTTACATCAGCAGAGCATCAGATCGTTCATCATTAGACTCTCCCACTCATTCGGACTTGTTGTTTATACACACATATACATTATACATTCTTTTTTTGAAAAGCTTAGCACTGGACACACTCTCTTCAAGGGGTTGCGTTGGCCCTTATCAAACGCTCAGCTCTGGGCAGTCGCTGTTCCACCTTTTTTGCAGTTTTTGCCCTTTCAGTCTTGTGTTCATCTTTTGCGAGTTTTTCTATCTGCAGCCCCAATAAATCTACCATCGCATATCTTAGGGCTCGCTCGTGTTTTTACAGCATCAACAAAATAACTCAAAGTGTCATCTGAGCTCTTGAAGTCTATTGTTGTTCAGCCATTGTTATTGTTCAGCTTTTGTTAGTGGGGCAGGTCCGTCTGAGTGTTTGGGTGGTTGGGTGGTGTCCCCTTCCGGGCTCAGTTTTGAAGCTATTTGCCCCGCAGCTGTTTGCCATTGCTTATCCGTATACAAAACGTTAACGCTTTGAGGCTCGACAATCGTTAGGCGTAACACGTGTAACCTTTGTAACAATGCGAGTATTTGCCTTGCTTTCAGCAAAATTGTTGCGATTGGTCCTTACGCCTATCTGAACAAAAGTCGGGCACCCAACCCCTAACCCCAACCCCAGTTCCAGTCCCACTTTGTTTGAGCTTGCTCTCAAACCGGAAGCAACATTTTTATTAGGTGAGTCTTGCTGCTTCTTCTTCTTCTTCTAGTTGTTCTTCTTCTTCTTCTCCGCCTTCGTGTCGTTCGGAGCGACACGGCACCTACTAGTCCCGACGTTTGTAAATCACTATGCTAGTCAATGAGTGGGCGGCCAAGGGGACGAAGAGGCGTTGCAGCTACTCAAGTGCACACATATATATATATAGAAATATATACCAACTTCTCTCTCTCTCTCTCTCGCTTCTTCTCTCCTTTTCGCTCGCTGCGTGTATTTTATTCATGACATTTTAGGCTTTGATAACAATCTAAGCAAAATGTACGACATTGTTGGGTTCTCCATCTTGAAGAGCCCCTGATGTGCTCTCTGTGTGAGTGCCACTATGTGTATGTATGGGTGTGTATGTATTTATGTATGTGTGTGTGTGCGCGTTGAGGTGTATGGCGCCCACGCAACCCTCAATTCCCTTGGCACCTTTATGTATTTTGTATTTGATATTTCGCATCCCATACCGACCCGCCCACTGCCCACTTCAACGGTTTTATTTTCCTTCTTACTTTCTGCTCTCTCTTCCTCTCACTCTCTTTTATTTATTTTTTTTTTTTTTTTTGAGTGCCCCGATGCCAATGCATAGAAATTATTATATATTATAAATCATATGATGCCATCACATTATGCCCAGCCATACAATTTCCCATAATCGTCAAGGACCTACGCCAGCTGCCATTGGCTCTGGGGAAATTTTTTGTTGCTTTGTTTTGTTTTTTAAGTCAAATCATTTGTGGCCTTGATTTCGAGCGAGCTCCAGAAAAGGGACACGGCTGATGCGTGACACGAGCGAGCGTAACAGCTGAGCAATATATTTAGGTTTAACTTTAAGAATTTGTGTAAGATATGATATTCAGGAAATGCTGTAAGTATTGGGAAGAGAAAATATAAGAGGAGCAGAGAATCATTTTCATGGATAAGCTGAATGTATATGGATAAGTTTTCATAGTCTCTGGGAAATATAAGTAATAGTGACGTATTCCCCTAGCGTTGCTTAGAGAATCTTATATATTTAGCTTTTCAAGTTTTCCGAATTTGTTCATTTTTCTTCTTAGTTTTAAAAATTTGAAGAAATCATTTTTCAAATCCTAGACAATATGTTATGCTTAATCCCTGTAGATCTTAACTATGCTATGTTAACTGATTTTGTTTAAAATTATTCTTAATCAGAATGAAGATGAAGACATTAGAGGCAGTCAGTCAAAACTTTTATTGATCTTAGCAGATTCTAACTAAGCTATTGAAAAATGTAGTAAAGGTTTATTAACGAGAGTTTCATTTAATTATGGGGCCACAGCTCAATCAAAATAGTCTTGAAACTCATCACCAATCTGATTAGCATTACTATAGTAAAACTGTAAACTAAGTGTTATGAAAACAGAGAAAGGAATTACTTTAGACATTCTTAGCTCTACAAATTTAAAAGATGAATACCTCAATTTTAGGGAGTAAATATATGTATATAGTAAAATATAATAAATAATTTAAATTGTATATGCATATCTCCATACAAGTCTACTGTCTGCATATCCATGCAAAACTCCAATTAAATGAAAATCTTCATTGCATAATTGAAATTTCTTGGAGCTGTACGCAAAAATCCCGCAAACCGCTGTATAAAATGAAATGAAATAAATGAAAATTTAATTATTTATAAAATACATTTTAAGGGGCAAATGCAATACTTACGTCCAAGCGGGTAGTCAAAGAGACAGAGAGAGAGAGCAAGAGAGAGAGGGAGAAGGAGTGGGAGGCAAGACACATTATGCACGCTGAGTGCACACACTCGATGCTAATTATTGCTTGCATTGTATTGTTTGTTATTGATTGATTAATGCAATTCCTGCTTGTTTACTTACCATATACAAGCCGCACACGAATTCGAATTCGAATGCGTTTTCGACTGCGAATGCAAATGTTGAATTCACGTATCAATGAACCCACAGAAATTGGCCATAAAGTGATTCAGCTCAGGATGGACGCGGGCGTTGCAATAAGAAGTTCAATGTGGATTGGCATGATTCGCAATTGCTGATTCGGATTGTTTTTATTTTTTATTTCGACTTTAAAGATAATAATTATGGTATGGTATGGTACTACATTAACGGCAACGATCAGCAGCTGTACATACATATATATCTATATATATACATATGTAAACATTGATTGATACATTTGCAATACTTTTGATAGCTTGCCTGCTCTTCTTCTTATTATTATTATTATTTTTTTTTTTTATGGTTTTTCTTTATAGCATTTGTTTATATTTTTTTTTTTTTAACAAATATCACATAGATATTCTAGCTTAGCTGCTAACTTAATTCGTCTAACGTTTAACGAACGGATATTTCATTTTGCTTTTCATTTAGTTTTAGTTTTTCGATTGTTTGTGAATCATTTTGAGTTTAGTTTCCAACTTGTTGTTGTTTTATATATATATATATATATTTTTGTTTTGCTTTAAATATGTTTTGGCATTTTAGTTCGTGCATTATAATAATAAAACATTGGTGTGCTTAATACTATCCATCCAATTCGATGTACATACATACATATATACAACAAGTTCCTTCGTCTTGTTTACTTTCTATATGCTTTATATATATATATAAATTTTATAACTTCAATTTACAATTTCTTGTTAGGTGTTTTCGATTTTATAGTAACTTTTGTTTGCGCGTAATTTCATAAGAATACTTTGCTTTTGCGTCGGCGTATGTCTGCATGGAAGTGAGGGTGAAATTAAAATGAGATCTTTTAGATACCAAAACAACAAAATATATAGATATATATCTATGGTAATCAAATAATAATAATAGTATTAAAAAAAAAACAAAATTTCTAGTTAATAGTTTTTGCTTGCTATGAAAAGTTGCATTTGAATTGTTTCTCTTTCCCTTTCTCTATTTCATGTTTTGCTTTGCTTTATTCTGCTTCTTCTACTCTTTCGCTTTCTAGACCTTGTCATCAAAGTTGGAGACGGGCCTGTAGGAACGCTGTTTGGCCAGCAGACGCCTTATATACAAGTACTCGGACAATGATATGAGGGTGAGCACTACAATTGCAATGTGCTTAACATTGTTGGGCAAATTATCCCGTTGCACGACCTCCACAACTTTGGGAAAGTCGGGCGGCTGGCAGGGCGGAGCTGAGGCGTCCACCCGGGGAAAGTCGATTAGTTCAGCATTTGGTGTGGCGCTCGGACGACTGGCGGTGCTGCTGCTGGTGGTTGTGGTGGTGCTGCTGACGATAATCTCATCTGCCAGCGGCACCACAGGCAATTCAGTTTCAGTTTCAGTTTCAGCTTCTGTGTCAGTGTCGGCATCGGCATCGGAATCGGTATCTGTTTCTGGCTGTGCTGGCTCCTCGTGGTCGTAGCCATAGCCGTCGTCATAGTTGCTGGGCTTCTCGTGGGGCATGGGCGCACCCTTGGGCCAGCAGACGGGACAGCAGTGGTCCTTGATCATCACCTGACGCTCGCTGGGGCAATTGACATGGGCACAGAGCGGTATCACGCACTTCTGTTCGCCCTTTACGCACTCGCACTGATAGCAGCCGTCCTTCCAGCTGTCGCCGTCCTTGAAGTACATGTTCAGGTTCTTTGACTCGCAGATGGCATTCTTGCCCTCGTCACAGCTCTGCTGGCAAATGCGCGCCCCGGAGTTGCACAGACAGCGCTGGCAGCTCTGCAGCCAGTAATAGTTCGTGTTTCGCACGTCCGAACAGTTGGGCTCCGGCTTGCATTCGTACTTGCCACAGCAGTGGCCCGGCGTGTTCATATCCTCCGGCTGCAGCTCGACCACAACCTCGCCCTCCTCCGTGTTGCAGCCGGGTATGTTGTAGCACGTCTTGCACATGCACTTCTTGGACAGACAACAGAGGGCGAACAGCTCGTCCGGCACCTGGCTGCTGTTGTAGACACTGCGCTCCGTTGTCTCCATTGCCCCGCTGGGGCTGCCGCCGACCGCATTCGAGCTCAACAGATTCACGGCGCTTATCTCGCGCATCTCCCGTATAGCGCTGTCCTCCGGGCACTCCATGTCCGCATCAGCCGGACATTGTATGGGATCACAGAGCTGCGGTATGGGCCTCCAGTCCATCTCTGTAAAAAATACAAAAAAAAAAAAAGAAAGAAATTCAAATAAATATTGAGCGAACTTTTTTATGAGCCGTTGACAAAATCACGTATTTTCTTTTTTAAATAAATCGATGGACATGGCATGACTGATGCAATAAATAAAAGCTGTTCACGTATTCCGCGAATGAGACTTTACACGAAACATGCTTAAATCCTTAAAAACGTTATGCCCGTATACGGGCGCAGAGCTTTATGTATTAAATAGAGGCTGAAAGTGCTTTAAGTAATAGTAGTCGAGTTAATTTATTAAAGCGATTTCTATGGAGATATATATAGGGGTATAGTCGTATAAACAGAGGTATTATAGAGTTATACTTATATATACATATGAACCGAAGGACCCAGTAGGCATTGTTTCATTTTAAGTTATAAACTCCAACGTCTAATAAATAAATGGAGAATGGTCAGAATTGGTTTAGGAAGAGCTAAGCAAGTCCAGAAAAACTAATACTGAGCAAGGTTTTGCTTCAATAATAAGCAAATTCTTAAGAGAAATGCTTGATAAATTAGCTAAGGATTATATAAGGATTTTTCGAGATGTTCTATACACAGAGCAAATATCAAATATTATCTATCTAATATAATAATATGAATTTCATATTTATGTTCAAAATCAAAATTTTAGTTTTAGTTGATATTGAAGCCTGTTACAAAGGCAGCAGAAGGCGTGGCAGTTTTCATAATATATAAATATATATTAGGGCTGCACTCTATTTGTTCTGGTATTTAAGAGCACGCTTAGCTTATGCTTGACACAGTAGAAACTACTCTAATCTCTCTCTAAATGATCGAGTGGTGCAACAAGTTCAGACTCGACTCTAGAGTTCGAGCTCGACCCCGAGCTCAAACTAGACTAGGAATTCGGATATAAAGGCGAGCCAGTTGCTATACGACTTCAGTCGTATTCCTGATCATCTGCTGTGAAGTCACATCCATCATTTTTTTGTGTGTGGAGCAAATATTTAAATAGTTGATAATTATAATGATATTCTTAACTTAATTGTTATTTTAAGAAATTGTTCAACAATACATATAAATAAATAACATTAAAATAATTATTTAATATTAAATATAGTATTATTTATAATCATAGGATAATGAGTTCTATGCTAATAATATTTATGCTAATCATCATTATATAAATAGATTATGTTAGAGTAATCATCATAGTGTAAGGGCGCTCATTATCAGTTTGTGAGAAAGACACCTCTTAGTAAAGCACTGACTAAATCCTAAGTAAATAAGTTTCAGTTAATATATGGGAGAATAAATATGATATTTATCATTATAATAAATTATATTGGTATAATAATTATATGTTAAAAATCTTACTCACAACAGAAAATCTGAAGAGCAGAAAATCTGGCCACATCGTAAGACTGAATTAATTAGAAATTAATTCTGTCCCTTTCTCCCTCTCCTTCTTTTCCTATATCTTTCTATTATTACATTTCAAGACTTTGTATAGACTTTGTTATTATATTTTCCACTTTTTTCTATTCATCACAAGAGTCTGTCCTCTGTAGCCGCATTTGCCTCTATTTAAAGACCTTTTTGCGCACTCTGTGTATTTTAGCCCAATTTAAGTTCATTCACCGGAAAACGCTTATACAAAAGGTACGCACACACACACACACACACATTAACTGATAAGATACACAGCTCTATTGACATCCTTTTTCTTCAGGTTATACATTTTTACACTAGACTGCAAATTCAATGTGCATATATAATTATAAGTTAACAAGAAATTCGCAGCTTTCTTCGTGTCGCGTTATCTCTAATTGAATCGACAATGTCTGTGGCTGCTCCCTCTCTCTCCCTCTCTCTCTCTTTCTCTCTCTACTATCTCTTGTCTCCTGTAGATGTGTGTGTGTGTGCTGGTTGCTTATGTACCCTTTGGCAACCTTTCACTAAAGTCTCGCGTTTACCTTTACACTCAGCCGCACTTTTGTTTGCCAATTGGGTTTGGCAGCTGCGAAACTTTGCGGCTTCCTTTGAGCTCAAGTTAATTTGTCATTTTCACTCGCCCATATAATGGGAATTCCATTTAACTTTTCACTTTTTTACTGCTGTTCTTAAAATTTTCTTTTCTTTTTATTTTGATTATTTTTTTTTTATTTT